TTAAAACACCATTTTATTTATCTTACATTAATTAAACCTAATTGTTTAGTTGACGTTCGAGTAATGTACTGAAGATATGATTCGGTTTCTTAGAAACAATACTTTCTATTAGCACAGCAGACATATCCAATATTTGATGTGCCATTAATTTGCTTTATATCATCATTATTTCCCAGAATTAAATTAATTTTCGTGTAAGCGACACTATTAACTGGTGTATAATAGTGCAAATCTAGTCTAAATATATGTATATAACTCAAAGGTGACTGACTGACTGACTGACTGACTGACTTAGTGATCTATCCTGACTTAGTGACCAGTGGACGGATCGGGCTGATATTTGGCATGCAGGTAGATGTTATGACGTAAACATCCGCTAAGAAAGGATTTTACGAAACTCCACCCCTAAGGGGGTAAAACGGCATCCACGCGTATGAAGTCGCGGGCGGCCGCTAGTATTTTATAAAAGTGACTCGGTTCTATCCCCAAAGAAAGACTATGCATCGAGGAAGTATTCACTCTGACCACTGAATAATATGAGGCTGAATTTATTAATATTCTAATAATATAGCCATACAAGCCTTCCTGGGTACCCACACATGCTTCTAATAGGTATATATTTACCTACAAACAGCATTTTCTCCGTACATAAAATATTAGTATAGGTAGATAATTGCTACACACCTGTGGCTAGCAGAGAGGCCATTTCCCACACTTTGAAAGCGGAAACACAACATAAGCCGCGTATCTATACATATAATTAATTAGTACAGGCAGTCAATCACCATAAAAACCGTTTAGAATGTATAATTCTCGCGAAAGTTAAGAAAATACGGTCAATCTGGTGTTGTTTCTTTTATATTCTGACGCCAATCAAAGCAGAACCTGAATTGACCCTTACATGCCCCAGAAAGAAGTTATATTTGGCCGAAACAAAATGTTCTTCTATGCAATTATGAAATTGCTTATTAAAGCTATACTATGTACTTGATAAAAGCCCAGGTTTCAGTCATGAATATTGACAGCTTCTTTTTTCAGAGGGATATTAATATGGCTCTACATTTTCATGGCTTGGACCTTAGGATTTGATCTAGGGTTTCTTAAAATACGATTAATTAACATGTAAGTGTCCACGGGATAAAAAAAAAGTAGGTTCGCGAGTTGCACGACTATTGCCTTCTAAATAACAGGTGTAAAAGCATGTCACTTCTCGAGTGTCAGTTGATTTTTATTGACTGCTTGTTCACACGCAAGGTGATGAAAGCCTTATTTTATTCTGTCGCCGTTTTTTCGCAGTTTATTTACATAACTGTGGCCTTTGTTAAGTTCACAGTCGTCTGGGAAATTTGAGATGCGTTTGACTAAAGTTTGAGAATCTCCGGTTTGTGATCGAACACTCGGAAGCAATTACAGGCTAGAAATTGGGTTATTTATCTATTTAGACTTCTGTTTAACTTGATGGCTATTAATAAAAATAATAATAGGTATTACATTAATATCTCATTAATAACGTCATTTACGATAAATCAATAGCCGTTTGTATTTTGTAACAAAATGTTCTTAGCAAATAACAACATTTCTTTGCAAACATATCGTACTCACATCAAATAGTATGATAACACTCGTAAATATAAACTAATCGTCTAATCATCTTCGTCTTGGTATGACTCCGGTCTAAGACGGTTATTGCCGCGAAAGTTAATTGACTAAAGTTCTATTAATTACACAATAATAATATAAGGCTGAGTTGCACCACCTAACTTTAACGGTAACTATGACGATAACCGGTGCTTTTTGTATGGAATTTGACAGATTTTTGACGTTTGTCAAAGTTAAATAAAGATGGTGCAACCCAGCCTAAGTGTATGTACCTAATAACTATTTATAATTTTACAGTTACCGTTTTAAATATTTTCTTACTAAAGAGAGCCTAATATGATCAGGTCATTGTTGCTTTCATGTCAAAGCCTTGGGGCCTATAATTTAGTTATTCACACAGTGACAGTAATCAAATCATAGTATTTTATTATTTTCATATGAACCTTAAAGGTTGAATAACCCTAGTATGAACTATTTTAACTAAGATTAAACTAGATTTATACTAATAAATGAATATTCAAAGTAACTGCCTTTCGGTTAATTTAAGATCTTAAGATCAATCACAAGCAGTAGGTACTTGAGTGTACAGAGAGTATTCGAGAGTCACTCTAGCATGGCCGAGTATGCCTCGAAAAATACTTTTACAAGCTTACCATGGAAAGTACCTTTTAGGCATAGCTATTCTCCCAAATATTTTTGAAGGCAACTATAAAATTCGATCTATTAAAAGCAAATATTCGCGTATGTCAAAATTAAATAGGTACAGTACATATAAACTTAATTTTGTGTAGACCTGGGCGGGGAACATTAGTGTACTCGTACTTACATAAAGCTACGCAGCACTGCAATAACGCAAAGTGTACATTAATGTCACAAAATAGTACTTATTGCCACTACATACGAGGGAGAATTTTTAANAAATCTTGAAATCGGTGATATTTTTACTGGGGTCAAAAATGGACGTTAGGGAGATCATGGCGAGACCTATCGATGGTTACAGGGTTATCCATTGTTTATGGGACACCCTGTATAACTAATCGTCTAATCATCTTCGTCTTGGTATGACTCCGGTCTAAGACGGTTATTGCCGCGAAAGTTAATTGATTAAACTTCTATTAATTACACAATAATAATATAAATGTATGTACCTAATAACTATTTAAAATTTTACAGTTACCTTTTTAAATATTTTCTTACTAAAGAGAGCCTAAAATTATCAGGTCAGTGTTTCTTTCATGTCAAAGCCTTGGTGCCTATAATTAAGGCTGGGTTGCACCATCTTACTTTAAGTTTGGCAAACGTCAATAATATAATCTGTCAAACTCCATACAAAAACTACCGGTTATCGTTATAGTTACGGTCAAAGTTAGGTGGTGGAACTCGGCCTAAGTTTTTCACGCAATGACAATAATCAAATCATAGTATTTTATTATTTACTTAAGAACGTTAAAGGTGAATAACCCTAGTATTAACTATTTTAACTAAGATTAAACTAGATTTATACTAATGAATGAATATTCAAAATAAGTGCCTTTGCTTCATTTAAGGTCTTAAGATCAATCACAAGCAGTAGGTACTTGAGTATACAGAGAGTATTCGAGGGACACTCTAGTATGGCCTAGTATGCCTCGAAGAATACTTTTACGAGCTAATCATGGAAAGTGCCTTTTAAGTATAGCTTCTTCCAAATATATTTGAAGGCAAGCTATAATTCGATCCTTTAAAAGCAAATATTCGCGTATGTCAAAATTAAATAGGTACAGTACATATAAACTTAATTTTGTGTAGACCTGGGCGGGGAACATTAGTGTACTCGTACTTACATAAAGCTACGCTGCTACAGCACTGCAATAACGCAAAGCGTACATTATTGTCACAAAATAGTACTTAATACTACTACATACGATGGATAATTTTTAGTTTGTGTGCCATCATCAGTACAATAGATGCAAAAACCGCAATAACTATACCCACAGGGACGATAGAGATATTTATGCAAAATTCAAATTGTGATAATTATAATAAAGAAGCATTCCTATTAAAAGCATTAAACAATTATTGGTAATTTAGTCAGAGTGCTTATTGAAATATACACGAAGATGTAATTAGCTAGAAGTTTATTAAGAAGTATGATTGCTGATAATTAAATAAATTCTTCTTTAATTTAGTCACAGTAATCAAGCGTTATGGTTCTCAGCTATGGCTATGTGGTTGAGAGCTTAATGTGGACCGTAATAGTTATGTACTTACCTCTTGCTAACTAGGTAATCATAAGGTTATGTGAGTATATCTTGTGAAGTAGTAAGAATATACAGTAGGTATATACGAGTAGTGATAAAGACTTTTATGGTTTCCATTGCTTAACTCTTCAATGATTAAAGTAATTTGGTTGTTACACAATATACATATGTAGAGGCATGTTAAATACATAGAATTATGTAGCTATACCTAGCAGATAATAGTAAATGAAAATTTTCAGCAACTATTAGATTTAAACTTTTTAAATCATCATTATTTCAGCCAAAGGACGTCCGCTGCTGAACATAGGCCTCACCCAATGATTTCCACAATAACTTTTTATTTATAATACTGTAAAAAGTTTAAACGCAAAATTAAATAAGCTCACAGAGTAGAGTTGTACGAGTAGTTGTTGTAGAGTATTCCTAGATTATTTGCAATTAAACATGACAGGATATTACTGTTTTAAGAAAAAAAATCCCCCTATTTTTTGCAAGTGGATAAAAAGAACAAAACATAAATCATTACATAGGAAAACAAAGTCGCTTTGCGCTGTCTGTCTTTANATAGAATTATGTAGCTATACCTAACAGATATAGTAAATGAAAATGTTCAGCAACTATTGGATTTAAACTTTTTAAATCATCATTATTTCAGCCATAGGACGTCCACTGCTGAACATAGGCCTCCCCCAATGATTTCCACAATAACTTTTTAAATAATACTGTATAAAGTTTAAACGCAAAATTAAAAAAACTCACAGAGTACAGTTGTACGAGTAGTTGTTGTAGAGTATTCCCAGATTATTTACAATTAAACATGACAGGATATTACTGTTTTACTCGTAGGAAAGATTTTTCCTCCTATGTTTTGTAAGTGGATAAAAAGAACAAAACGTAAATCATTACATAGGAAAATAAAGTGACTTTCCGCTGTCTGTCTTTCTAANTGTCTTTATGTATGCAATGTAAAGCATCAAAATCCGTTGCGTAGTTATAAATAACTACTTTTTACGAATTTACGGATTTTGATGCGGTTTTTTAATAGATAGAGTATTCAAGAAGGTTTATTATTTTTTATAAAATAGACCTATAAAGCTCGTGCGCTCATTATCTCGTGTAGTAACTGCTTATAACTTATTCATTGTTTTCCCTTGTCCACAGGTATGACGTCGATGTAACAGATCGATCTCAAAAGTAGCTCTAGCTATAAGAAAATTCCTAGAGACAGTTTAACACGTAAACTAAAATAATTAGAAGAATAGTAAAGACAGTACCTAGTGCCGACGGTGAAAGAAAGTGTCGCACTCTTCAATCTAAGTGTAAAGTGAGTCCTATTGACTGGAGGAGTGAGATGACGAAATTGGAGGTAAGTCTAGAACTTTGCTCCTGGTGGTTCATGGTAGAAGACGATATTTTTAGGAAATTATAGGGAAATCTCAAAATTTTCTTATACTTGTTCACATGGATAAAAGCGACACATATTTTCTTTGGTGAAATTGCCGAGAGAATTGAAACTAAACAAACACTTAATTGTATTTTTTTTCGAACTAGGATTAATATGATTCTATAGAGCATTTTTCCTAGTTAGTGTTTAGTATATCCTCACAATTTATTAAAGAACAACCTAACAATATTGGTCATATGGTTGAAACTCGTACTTATTAAATATTAATACTATAATTTATAACATAACCTATATTTGGTAAAATGTAGTTTTTCTTTGCATTGCATTTGGTTTATTACATAAAAACATAAGGCCAAATAAGTTATTGCCGAATATTAAACACTTGAATGAAATAATATTATACAATTTAATGAAAATACGAGTAATATATCAATTCTCGACTTAGAAAATAATATTTGATTGCAATAATTGTTTTATGTTACTAAATATCCTAAACACATATTGCAAAGGAAAAGGTAGGTAAATACATCAATCGCAAACAAAGTTAAATTAATTCGTGATTCAGTTTTTACAGTTACAACACTCGTAGGTATATCCTTAGCATGCTACTATACAGGGTGGAAACGATAAGTGATCTCACTCGATTATTTCTAAACTATACAAGATATCGAAAAACTGGTTACTGATCCTGAAAGTGCTTGACGAGCTCTTTCAAACAGTACCAATAATAGGTTACAGAATAAATGGGAACTCTCCGAAAATTCAATGTTTCCAGCTTCCATACCTTTGGTAAAGTTACATAATATTAAAAACTACACAAGATATCGCAAAACTAGTTACTGATCCTAAAAGTGCTCCACGAGTTCTATCCAACGGTATCAACAATAGCTTACAGAATAAATTGGATCTATCCAAAAATTCAATGTTTTCATCTTCCATACATTTAGTACTATCACAGTCATGGCATCTCTTGATAATATGATAGCAAGTAAAGCCTAAAACTTATGTTTTCCACAAATAATTTTAAATAAGATGCAAATTACGAGTTTATGTAACCGACTTTTTAAGTTTATTATTTAACAAAAAATAAATTACACTTCTAATATTGTGTGGTTGGCATACATTTAGTATGGAAGCTGGAAACATAGAATTTTCGGATAGTTCCCGTTTATTCTGTAACCTATTATTGGTACCATTTGAAAGAGCTCGTGAAGCACTTTCAGGATCAGTAACCAGTTTTTCAATATCTTGTATAGTTTAGAAATAATCGAGTGAGATCACTTATCGTTTCCACCCTGTATGTACCTCCATATACATAGGTATATATTGCCAAAATGAGGGTGAAACAACATCTTACAATAGAGATACAATATTATTGATATCTTTACATTTGACAATGGTTCTATGAAACATAGCTAAAGACTAAATTCAAACTCTATCATAAATTCAAGCCTAACAACATTTTGAACAATTTCAGGCCACAATATACTTTTAGTTTGAGTTTGAAGTATTTAGGAAGGTAATACGGGTCTCAGGCGTAGACCTCAACCTGAGCTTTAAATTAAACAGAGTTTAGAGCTTTCTTCTGTAATACCTACCTACTTTTTGAAGAAGTTTAGAACCTTTGAAGTTTTGCTATAACATAGTTAAATTCTACTTTATCGATAAATCTCAGAACATTTCAGACAGCTAGCTAAGCTAACACTTTATACTCAATCTTCTTCTTCTTCACGTTACGCGGGGTCGGCTTCCCGAATAATGCGCCGCCATTCGATTTATCTTGAACATCTGGTTCGAAGAGTCCCAACACTTTCATGTCCTTTTGGACAATCGTCATCCAGGTTGTTTGAGGTCTTCTTCTTCCCCTCTTTATTGTGGCGATGGAAATCAGACTCAATGAGAGAGTAAATAGGGAGAAAAGTCATTTTCGGGTCTTCAAAAGATTTTATTTTTTTCGAATATTTTTTTAAGTGACAAGATCTCTCGACTGCTATGCATTTCCGTAACAATTCACTGCACAAGTAGATATGGTACATCCGATTATCATGCCTCCGTCTATAATAATGATCATTCATTAAAGTCCATATTTGGTTTCATTAAAATCTTTAAAAGTTCGGCTTTAATGGCTTTGGTCTAACACAGTAGATAGTTTTACAGTTTTAATTCTCTGAAAGAAAATAAGCAATTCGTGACGAAATTGTTGTTTTAATATTTGTTTTTCCCTCCTCTACCGACCATTCAGCAAAAAGATGGGTGGCGTGAGTCTGAATTCTTACCATAAGAACGCAATAAGATTTTATTCTCATTGGAAACTAAGTAAACTTTCTAAAATGTAAGTACTTACTTCGTGCTGTTATTTAAAAAAAGTTCTTTATAAAATAATTGACGTTACAATACAATTTATACCCACGTATTTACTTCTAGTCGTTACAGATTGGTCCTCGCGAGATTTTACGTTTGTCACGTGCAATAAAATAATCGAGTGAGATCACTTATCGTTTCCACCCTGCATATCATCATTTACCCTTGTACATTCCTGCCATTCCCAACCCATGTAGGTAGGTATTCCTAGAATACCAAAAGTCTATGTCACACCCTAGGAGACAAATGTTGATTGAATTTTCACTGTTATTGAAAANGGAGTGAGCTGACGAAATTTAAGGTAAGTCTAACTTTCTCCTGCCTGATGGTTCATGGTGAGACATTAATTTTAAGAAATTATGAGGAAATCTCAACATTCTCTTATAATGTACACATGGATAAAAGCGACACATATTTTCTTGGTGAAATTGCCGAGAGAATTGAAACTAAACAAACGATTGTATTATTTTTCAAACTGGGATTATTATGATAGAGCATTTTTCCTAGTTAGTGTTTCGTATATTCTCGCAATTTGTTAAAGAACAACCTAACAATATTGGTAATATGGTTGAAACTCGTATACCTAAAATATTAATACTATAAATTAACATAACCTATATTTGGTAAAGTGTAGTTTTTCTTTGCATTGCATTTGGTTTATTACATAAAAACATAAGGCCAAATAAATTATTGCCGAATATTAAACACTTCAATGAAATAATATTATACAATTTAATGAAAATACGAGTAATATATCAATTCTCGACTTAGAAAATAATATTTGATTGCAATAATTGTTTTATGTTACTAAATATCCTGAACATATTGCAAAGGAAAAGGTAAATACATCAATCGCAAACAAAGTTAAATTAATTCGTGATTCAGTTTTTACAGTTACAACACTGGTAGGTATATCCATAGCAAACATATCTTGCCAAAATGAGGGTGACACAACATCCTACAAATAGAGATACAAAATTATTGATATCAGAGTTTACATTTGTTTACGGTTCTATGATACAAAGCTAAAGACTGAATTCAAACACTATCATAAATTTAGGCCTACCAAAATTTTGAACAATCGCAGTCTACAATACTCTTAGTTTCAATTGAGTTTAATACGGCGTAAACCTGACCAGGTTGACCTGAGCTTTAAAATTAAATAGAGTTTTGAGCTTTGTTCTATAATACGCACCTTACTATTGGGTGATTTATTCAACAAACATAAAAATGCATTCCTCCTACCTACTTTTTGAAGAAGTTTAGAACCTGTAAACTCTAAAGCTTTGCTATTACATACTTAAATTCTACTTTATCGATAAATCTCTGAAGATTTTAGCAAGCCCCTTTAACTGATCTCATAAGCTAACCCTTTATACTCAATCTCCTTCTTCTGCCTCGCCTTAACCCGTTACGCATTACGCGGGGTTGGCTTTCTTAATCATGCGCCGCCATTTGATTCTATCTTGAACGTCTGTTTCGAGGAGTCCCAACACTTTCATGTCCCTTTGGACATTCGTCATCCAGGTTGTTTGATGTCTTCCTCTTCCCCTCTTTTGTGTGGCGATGGAAATTAGACTCAATGAGAGAGTAAATAGGGAGAAAAGTCATTTTCGTGTCTTCAAAAGCTTTCATTATTTTTTTCCAATATTTTTTTAAGTGACAGGATCTCTCGACTGCTATGCATTTCCGTAACAATTCGCTGCATAAGTAGATATGGTACATCCGATTATCATGCCTCCGTCTATAATAATGATCATTCATTAAAGTCCATGTTTGGTTTCATTAAAATCTTTAAAAGTTCGGCTTTAATGGCTTCGGTCTAACACAGTAGATAGTTTTACAGTTTTAATTCTCTGAAAGAAAATAAGCAATTCGTGACGAAATTGTTGTTTTAATATTTGTTTTTCTCTCCTCTACCGACCATTCAGCAAAAAGATGGGTGGCGTGAGTCTCAATTCTTACCATAAGAACGCAATAAGATTTTATTCTCATTGGAAACTAAGTTAACTTTCTCAAATGAACCTACTTCGTGCTGTTATTTAAAAAAAGTTCTTTATAATATAATTGACGTTACAATACAATTTATACACACGTATTTACTTCTAGTCGTTACAGATTGCTCCTTGTTTGTCACGTACAATAAAATAATTGAGTGATCTCACTTATCGTTTCCCCCCTGCATATCATCATTTACCCTTGTACATTCCTGCCATTCCCAACCTTGTAGATATTCCTAGAATACCAAAATTCTTTGTCACACACCCTTGGAGAAATGTTTCTTTAACATTACAACTCAAATTTCAATACCTTTTTGTTGAATGTCGATTGAATTTTCACTGTTATTGAAAAATATACTGAAGGCCTTACCTATTACGCCTTAAACGTTTTCCACAAACTTTTACTTTAACCTTACAGAATCTATAGTATAGTGTCTTCACTAAAATTATGAAATTGCATTTAATTGTCTGCACCTTTAGCGATTCAGTAAGTTTAATTAGGATATTTAACAGCCAATTATGCTTCTCGATTAAAAATAAATAATGCTGTATTCACACTATTAGCTCGTATCGTGTCGTGATCTATCAGAAGCCTAATGGAATTCATTTATTATGCAAGCGCATAATATTTCATATCGATGCTCTTTGATGCTAGCCGACTGAAGCTTTGATACAAAATATTTATCTGTACGGTAGTTGAAAGAGAATATTATCCGAGGATCGGTCAAGCGATGGAGAGGCCTTTGTCCATCAGTGGACTGACGTAAGCTGACGCCAATGATGACAATGCAAGTCCTGGAGCGCTTCTGATACATCTCAACACGATACGTAACTACCACACTATGTCAGACACTAGTGTGATTTCAGCTTTAATTTCGCCACCTCACATTCCTTTTCTTCTTTTACAGGTGGATATTGAGAACTTCTCAAGATCAAGTAAGGACATCTAATAAACCTAATTAAACTTATTTTAAATATTATTTAATAGATAAAAATATTCTTGAAACTGTGATATTATGTTAGAAATAAGATATCATCTTGTAAATATACTGTACAGATTTAGCTAGTAATAATGTGACAGTTATAATTTATTGTAGTCATTATAGAAAGAAAATACAGATAATATTATACGTTGACATTTCTCTCATTTAACTATTTTTCCTCTATTGTTTTGCTATAAAGAACACAAGTAAGTAATTAAAATGTAACTAGCCAGTAGGACAATAAATATTATTTAAGTGAATATTTAAGCTACACGTGTACCTAATTGGCACAACACAAAGTCACAAACAAGTCGAAGCTATAAGTAAGTACCTATGTACATACATGTAAATAATGTAACCAAATAATTTATTAACTAAATATATTTTTAAATTCTAATAAATCATCATGATGAATTTTCAATTACATAACTCTGTAAATAAATAACAAGTCGTTTTACTCAAAAATGAGTAATGTTGTTATATTGCAAACTAAAATAAAGGAAATCATATAATTGAACTGGATGGATGATCGATTTTTGAGTTTCATGATGTTTATTGCAATTAAAATAGATATTTCATGAAATATTGAAGATTTAAATAAAAAAAAATCAAAAATAAATATTTATAAAACACACTTCGACAAATATATGGATACAGTCGATATCAAAAATAATTACGAGAATGAATGTATTCAATAATATTTTCAGTTTTCATACAGCTCATCTACTGTTGGGATATTTTTGACAAAGATATGATTTGTCTAAATATATTAGTGAGTAACAATAAATCATCAATAATAAAATATAAAAATTGCATTGCTTTTCAGCATATAAAATAAAATTCATGGCAGAGCGCAAATCCGTACTGAATGATAGCAATCTGTACCTTAGAAACTGATTTCTACATTATTTTACTGTAAAAAAGTGCCCTGATTTTGAATGAATATCGATACAATATTCGCAAGTGCATATTGCATTGTACACAGTGCCACTTACGTGTTAAAGTTGTGTTTTTAGCATTGTGCTGTGCATTAAACAAACTCCGCTATCATATTCATCATCAATACTAACAAGCGTAAACATGATTCATGAGGCATAGCATTAAAATATTTGAAAGTTGCATTTATGTTGCTTATTGTACAGACGACGGCACATCAAGGTAAACATCGTAGCAACTTATTCATTTGCAAAAGAGACTACTTTACTATAAAAAGTTAAGTCCGATGTGCTATCGACTGTACGTGTAAAATGTAAACAGTAAAAACAACTGTTGCAATTAGAGCATAGAGGTATTGGCTCGTGTCATTTCGAATGCACGAATTAATACAGTGATTTATTAACAACCATTCGTTATACTTTTTTATATTTAATTAAGGATATTTACTCAGAAATAACACCTTACTTTGGGCATAAAATGTATCTCTGCTTAGTTTTTAATAAAACATCAGTAAACATTTTAAAATTTAGGCACGCTTGAATTGGTTGACTGAAACTAGAACACTTATCTGGTGGAACATCCGTCATGATGAGATTACTGTCTTAGTTACAATTCAATATCTTTGCCAACAAATAGCAGAGTTTCTATGACCTTATGCTAGTAGAAGCGTAATGTAAAACTGTACATACAGTTGGTTGCAGCGAGAGATATCCAAGCCAGCCAGTCTCTCAATAGTGGAGTGATCTCAAAAATAATTATTTTTAAGAATTAATACTGTAATGCAATGGACTAAAATATAATTTAATTGAGGGGCGTATTAATAATTATAAGAAAACAGTAAACATCATTAACGGTTATTGATACAAAAATATTGTTTCGAAAATAGCTACTAGTTTATTTTATTTGTATTTGAACGATGTTCATTTTCGAAAGACCTATAAATATTACACTGACGGAATAAGAATCTCACCTACTTTAACATGTTACTCGTATTTACTTTAAAATATCCGATTATTTAAAGATAATTAATTATTTAATTACGTAATAAGGTCTAAAACCTGTGTAATTTAATCAATAAAGGAATGTCGCACTTTAACTCAAGAACAAAATTACAGTGACACCAATATGTTGTGAAACTATAATCCTGTCTTTCCTGAAGACTATAAATCCGGACCTTTTTAGAGTGAATAGGCACTAACAGGGCAGACATGTACCATCCTAGACTGCATCCCACTTAACATGAGATGCGATTGTCGTCAAATACCTGCCTTGTTATGTATAAAAAATCCGCAAATCGAACTAAATTTGACACTATAAGTTAATAAAATATTTTTTTTTAACTTCTCAAAACGCGATTACTCGATGCTTTTGTGCAGAAATTAAAGTCAATAAAATATAATTAAAATCTAGTTTACTTTATGTTTTTAGGGAATTTGTGCCTTGAAACTAATTATTAATGGCGTCAGCAGGGGATATATGTAACAACCATGGCTTCCCTTGAGCCACATCGAACATTGTATACAACATCTTAAGACCCATTTACGAGTATATCACAAGTTTTTTAAGTTTACTATAAATCACTTACAATAGGTATTAGTTAAAGTAAATTAGCTACAGATAAAAGCATAAATGAAGATGATAGGAGCTTTATATGCTCAAAAAACTTTTATTTTTATAGTGCACACAGGTAGGGGCGGGAATCGCTGTCTGCTGCTGTCTTTCCAGGTCGAGAGTGAATAGGCACTTACAGGGCCGATATGTACCATCCTAGACTTTATATCGGGTGCAATTGCAGTACTTACCTTGTTCTGCATTTAAAAAAAACGTATATTAAGAATAGTTCTCCGCCTTACTCCGTCTAGATTAGGAGGTTTTATGAAACAAAAATATAGGTATTATATTTCATTTAAATAATTTAGTCCCATTGGAACGGATAGGTATAGGTAAAACAATGGGAAATACCGAAAACTGATGAAAAAGAAGCACGCACTAGCACACACAGCATGGGGCGATTTCCTACCTGTGACAGATAACCTGAAAAAAGATGACCATTAGTTGCAGGGAGTCAGGGTCATTTCTTATCAGTGGAATGCTTATGATTCATTAATGCTTTAGAATAGCAATGTAACTGATAATATAAATATAGCTTAGTTAATAAGTGCTTTTTGCTGACTAAAGTGATTGAGTCGCTTGCATCGTCTTTTCTCAGCCCATTACAGTCTTGAAGCAGTGGTAGGGTTAAAAATACTGGGACTGAAAAAGTGCCTTTTAAAAGATTAGTTACCAAAAATTGTAAATTTATTACCAGTATTATATTTTTTATATTCACTATGATATTCAAACAACAACCCCATTAAACGCAGTTAACACAACAAATCCTCGTAACAGCGCCAACTTTGCAGGATCACGCGTCCGCAAATCTCATCACAGCACATCCACGCATAAAACCTGCGAACAATAGCCGGAGGCTGTGCCTAGGTCTCGCGTAATTGTTAACCGACCCTCCTTTGCATGGGACTTTCAATAGTAACAAAGCTCAGGTCCATAAAACGGTGCAGTCACGGCTCGCGTCTTTGGCGGGCGCGCGACAAACGATATGTCACGGCACGTAGTACAATGCAAACAGTCGGCGTCTGTGAAGGCATGTGGAGGTGTCACAACACGCGGACGCGGCCGCGGCGCCGGCGCGAATCGCGCACAATGCTGCCCGAGGATGAAAGAGCGCCGCTGCTGACAAAGCCTTTGTGCGCGGGCGGTCGCCGCGGCGGTCAGAGTGATCACATTCAAATTGTAGGGGCACATCAAGCTTTACACTGTGGCATCTTACGCAGTTGTAATAGGAGAGGTTTTATAACAAAAATGTACAGTTTTCATGTGCTGTCCACTGTACTTTCTATAAATAAGCCTTAACCTAATAATAACCCGAGTCTAATGAGGGCTTCGTCAACGAAACATAAGCAACCCTTAAGATACTCTTTTACATGTCTCCTTCTTTATCTTTCGGACCCTCTCAAAGCTTCGAAACAAACATAAATAACAAGCGCAGAGATGTCTCTTAACAGGTCATAGCTTAAATTCTTATCAGCTGACATCAAACGGTCTTCGCTACATAAGTTCCTGTACCTCTAGTAGGAAAAACTTTCGAGTTCGTTTCGTTGCGTATTCAAAGTGTCATCGAAAAATTTTGTATGAAAAATTAAACAGCGCCCCCTATATTATAGCCGCCCTAGGGGGCGCTGTTTAATTTTTCATATAAAATTTTTCGATGACACTTTGAATACGCAAACGAAACGAACTCGAAAGTTTTTCGTACTAGAGGTACTGTTCTACTGACAATTCAACGATGTAAGTAATAAAGAAGAGCTGCCTACATAATCTGGCACTTAGTATTAAGAAAAGGTAAAAATACAGCGCACTTTCAGCTCAGTGTGACACACGTATAATAACCAAAACTATGAAGGACAGAAGAAAACCCCTCGACAACATTCTATCGTATGAGCATAACACAAAAGTTGAGCATTACCAGCTGTTTGAAGCTAATATAATATTCGATTTTACCGTGTAACTTATTATGGATAGAAAATGTAACTGTAAAACAAGATTTGACGACAGACACCAGACATGTGAAAGTAAATAAAAGCTTGTAATAAAAAACAATAGTAGTATATTTTTTCTCTAACGCCTCGTAGAACTACGGTGACTACAAAAAGTTCGTAGCTAGATAGAGTCAGTCGGAGGCAACTGTAGCTACGACATCTACGACATTAGGGTGACACTCCATTATCTGTATTATCTGAGATACTGAGATTAATTATCTCTCGTTGTTAACGATGATAATAATAAGTGATAGCATATGTCATTTTTATTGACAGTTTCCGAAAATAAATTAAATAAATAAAATAAAATAAGAGGTTGGGTAAAATACCTATTGTGTATTATATGAAAAGTTAACTTAGTTATGGGTATATTTTAGCGGAATCCTAGCAAATTACACTTACATAGGTACAAGGTACAGACGCTGAATTCTTAAATCTAAATCTTCAGATAAGTACATACAGCTATTGATGCCCTGAAACAACATCGTTATCATGAAATATCGCTGAAATCTGTGTTGAAACATACTGTGACATTAATGACTACGAGGCATTGGAATTTCTGTTGCAAACTCGCTTCTAATACAACATAGAAGATGCACTAGCATCATGGATAAATTAGAGAGAATTTTCATCACAATCATGAGAGGACAGTGAGAATTTAATGCAAATGATTCTTAAAATTATACCTAATAGGTGAATTGTATATGTACGAGTATCAGGTTATTCAGCAGGAAGACTTTATCTAACAGCAGATGTTTGTTGTAAATTTTAAGTGGTAGTTAACAATACTTACTGCTTATTGGAAAGTAAAGGAATCCTCATCAACTCTACTCAAACTGCCACAAAAGCCTTTAAATTTTCATTAAAACAGGCAAATATACGCAAAGTACACTTAACAACCCTAAAACTGAGGATACAGCAAGTAATGCCACGGCGGAAGGCTAAATTTTTAATAACGGGTACTGTAAGCTTCATATTTCTTTACTGTTTCAATTTTCTAGCTTAACCGCAGGAGTTTAAGCTAACATTTATTTAAATATTTGCACTTTAACGACTTTTTGCTGTCGGTAGCTAACTAGCCGTAAACGTACCCGCTAAACCAGTACTTATCGCGCGCAGTTATCGCGCGAGGCGGCGGCGACGCGGCGGTCATGCTAAAATGGCCCTCCTTATATGGATCCGCTCTAGACGCAATCTAATCTTTGCTTAGATACACTTAAGCGGATCACTCAGATCCGTATCGGCCGTAACACAAGTAGGGATATTNTGGTTGGCGGTTTGGCGGTCTTCTTGGCCTTCGGCGCAGCGGCGGCCTTACCCTTGGCGGCGGCGGCGGGTTTCTTGGCGGCGGGCTTCTTCTTCGCGGCGGCCGCCTTCTTGTCCTTGGTGGCGGCGGAGGGCTTCGCCTTCGAGGGCGACGATGCGGCGCTCGAGGCGGCGCCCTTCTTCGCCTTGCCGGCGGCCGACGCGGCCGTCACCTTCTTGGACTTGGCCGACGCTGCGGCGGCGCCCTTGGCGGGCTTGCTCGCCGCCGGCTTCTTGGATGCCGCAGATTTGGATTCCAATTTGAACGAACCGGAAGCGCCCTTGCCCTTGGTCTGGATCAAAGCGCCGGACTCGACGGCGCTCTTCAGGTACTTCCTGATGAAAGGTGCCAATTTTTCAGCGTCCACTTTGTACTGAGCCGCGATGTACTTCTTGATGGCCTGCAGCGAGGAACCGCTGCGCTCCTTCAACTCTTTGATGGCGTTGTTCACCATCTCGGACGTCTTCGGGTGGGTGGGCTTCGCTTTCGGCTTCTTAGCTCCTCCGGTCGCCGTCGCCTTGGGTTTCTTCGNAGGAGACACCCGCACCCGCCCGCAAATCATCTCGCCATTCCGCCATTGTGAAAGTGTTAAGTGATTGTTTACAAGTAATTTCAAAATAATAAAACAAAATAAAAGTTCCAAAAAGTATCGATATCAGTAAGTATCGATACTTTAGGAGTACTTATTTAAGTAGTATCGAAAAAAGATTTGAGTATTATCGAAATGAGTAGGTATCGATACTTAGGTGGTATCGGAACATCCCTAAACACAAGTAGTATCCGGCTATCGTAGATCCATCGCGCCGATTGCAAATCGAACTCAATCAACTGTCGGCCTTTATTAATGCACTCTTCATTAGACACCACCTCTGATCTGCCGCTTTCAATTGAAACAATATTTAAAGCTTTGCCGGCACAAGAGTAAAATAAAACGGTAGAACCATAAACATTCCACATTTATATTCGACCTCTGTCAGCCGGTCGGCGCGGTCCCTTTCTGTCGCGCTGCGCTGTCTCTTTCCCACTGCGCCGGAGCGTCTGCGGGCTCCGAGCTCATCTCTTCTGTTTAAAGATCCAAGAGGGAGATAAAAGTTGTATGGCTCATAATGTTTTAACAGTCTCATCGTTTGTGCGCAGCAGGCCGAAAGCCCAATTTAATTTTCCTCCTCGGGTTGGTAATAATTGAGTCGATTCGTTCTATGCGAGGCGCAGTCGGTGGAAGCAGCGCATTTTAGAGCCAGTAATCAATTCCTTTTAATTGATTCCTCTAACTCTCACATCTGGCATACACGTCTAATATTAAAATTCGTTTTATGTGTATTATTATAAAGTAACCACATACTATGATGTTCAAGCATTATTATTATCTTAGTCTCAAAAAGTTATCAAAAAATGTACGCCTAAACATTTACATTAGAATTAATAACAAAGGACTAGCAACAAAATAATATTCTTATTTGTAGTTTGAAATAAAAATAAAATAATATGTACTTAGCTCCAATTAACGAAAGCGTAATTTTGAGTAATACTATTGCATACATGGAACTATCCTGAAAAGGAAATTATGTTACCACTGTGTATTTAAACACTTGTTTTAATTGGCTTAATAAAATGTTAGTATTGCGTACTTGTTAGTTACATTGGTGTCGATACTGAAATTTTGAAATATGAATTTATTTTCTAATAGTTTAAGACACATTAGTACATTAGACTAAATCCAAGGCAATCATATTTCTTTTATTAATCACAATCACTATGCTATAGAACTAAGCGGTCGCATTTTGTGCAAAAATAAAAAAAAAACTGATTTGTTAAGCATTTATGTGTCATCAACGTATTATTATGAATCTTTCTTAATTGTTCTTATGTACACTTAGAATTAAATGTGAAAATCTACAAAAGGTATGTCAACTTTTTTGCACCATCACATAAAAAGCTACGTACCTACGCTGATCCTGACAGGTTCTTCACTAGCACCATGACAATTAACATTTCTTTTACTAAATCAATTATCTCTAATTACCAAGTTCCTTGGTAGCGTATAAGACAGTGCTGTCGTTTTGTCGTAGCAACTATTTGTAGCATCTGTGCTACAAGGACTACCATATCTGCTACGGCCCAAACCTAACTCGTTGATGTCTTTTACAAGGTTCTATTAAAAATAGATTTGTATTAAAGAATGATATCCAATTAAACATAATTTTATTCGTACTTTCCTTTTAGCCATTGTCACTATCCAATGAGGGTTTTCGCGATTGAAAAATCCGCCAGATGGCAATACGTAGACGCGAGGTCCAAATGCTGCGTGATTGGAGGATTTTGACATATCTGTCAATGTCATGTCGAAAATAACCAATCATGCAGCGTTTGGACCTTACGTCTAGGTATTGCAATCTGGCGGATTTTTCAATCGCGAAAACCCTCATTGAGGTGTCCAACTACTTGTATAGGCTGAAACCTGCAACTGGCTTAACAAGTGAAATAAATTCAATACTTTTAACTAATAAAAAATAATTACATTTATATCTACATAGTTAATTATCTTCATAATTTTAAGGCTAGTTAACCGCAGTGCGTGCACCATATCAGTATCATGCATTTTCTTTTAAAGATGAACGCGCATCGTGGTACAGCATCTTCATAATTTCTATCGTTCGTATCCAAACTGTCAAGCAAGTACTCATATGTTGTAAGTAGGTAGGATATGTTGTAAGGAGGTAGGTACTGTATCTTTTTTTAATCAAACTTTGTATTTTCTAAACCGCCCTAGTTCATAATTATACACATTTTTTTCAAATTTCCTAAATTGAAGCAAGAGCATTAAATATTTTTACTATTATATTCTGTTTGTCTAAACAAATAAGTATCAATATTTCAAACACAGCGGCTGGCCTCTATGGATCCATGCAATTTATAAACCTAACAAGACGTATAAACAAACGGAGGTTCGAGTACTACGATATCCTATTGCTATTTTTCAAATCATGCAACAGCTATAGGAGCTGCTAAAAATAATTCATTTTCATTCATCATCAAGATAAAATGAATTTGCAATGTTATTATCTGACACAGAAGAATTGGTCACAGCTGTCCACGACCGTATACTCGTATGGGGAAGCCACCTACATCACAGTCGGCGCGCCACAAAGACCTCCACATATACAAATAAATAACTCGTGAACAACAAATATTTTAATAAGCACTTCAAAAGAATTGTTCTACGCTTAGTTATGGGTACATGTGACGCACACTGGGTCGCGNATTATTTTTATATTATGTTATTATTATATTAAGTAATAATTAATAAATTCCATTGAATTAAAAACAAATTAATGGCAAAGAAAAAGGGGTTCCGTCTCGCTCTCGCTAAAAATAATGCGTCACCAGTCACCACTCACTCGCACGACAGAGATGGAAATATTCAACACATTCNCGCCACAAAGACCTCCACATATACAAATAAATAACTCGTGAACAACAAATATTTTAATAAGCACTTCAAAAGAATTGTTCTACGCTTAGTTATGGGTACATGTGACGCACACTGGGTCGCGTATGCCACCTGCATATACTACAAAACTTTCTGGACACAAGCAAGAATAGTTGCAATGAACAGTGGAGGAAGGTATTGTATTGTATGAATGGTAAAAAATAGTTTTGTCAATGCGCGCAGACGGCATGACCAATGCCAGAATATGGAGTCGGCGAATGGCGATCTTTTCGAACGCGTAAACTTTTATAGGGACATAAGAATGAGCCGATGGAAAATTGGTAAGGTGAGCGTGAAATGTGGCAGATGCTCCGTAAACCGGGTGTCCGCGGCCCTCAAGATAAATATTGCAGTTTACGCATCTGGACTGGAAACCTATAGACGCATTCGATACGCAAATAGTACGATTGTTTTCTTGAAAAGGAACGCCCTCCGAACATGCGTATGCTGTTATTGTGGACCTTTCAGAGCAACTACAGTGCGAGGCAATAAATATAGACTTGCAAATAAATAAGGCTGACACACATCACTATAGATACTGTCGCGTGGTAATGCGCGTAATATGTACCATTTTCTATTTACTATAGATTAAGAGTTATTATAGGTAGATAATATTAAAAACACTAAGGCTGGGTTGGACCATCTTACTTGGACTGTAACAAACGTCAAAAATCTGTCAAACTCCATACAAAAATCACCTCCTTTCCTTTATGGTCTTATGTCCCTAGATGGGGCAGAGGGCGTCCACAACAGTCCTCCATCTCGTTCGGTCTTGAGCTTCTCGCTTGATCTCGTTCCAGGTCTTGCCGATCTTCTTCGCCTCGTCCGCTACAGTGCGCCGTACAAAAATCACCGGTTATCGTTATAGTTACGGTCAAAGTTTGATGGTGCAACTCAGCCTAAAACGTTGAAACAGATAAAACAATATTCTTTTAAAATAGCTTACTTATTTGCAAAACTGACAATATTGTCGATCGCAGCGAGAACATCTCCTAATTTAAGCTCAACAAAAGACTGAAAGGTGTCATAATGATCCTAATTATTCTTCAGTAGTGAACTCGATTATTATCATTGATTAGATAATCACTGAATATTATTGCCGACTATCGGGCTTTTTCTCCCCTAGCAATAGAGCACAACTGGTACAACGCTAGGTAAGATTGCCGGTTCGAATCCTGTAAGAACAAATTAATGTAGTGAGAGTCTAGGTATCTGTTGGCGGCAAAGTACTAGCCCTGCTTAGTTTGATGCTAATAAATTATTGTGAGAGTGGAAACAATTTATTATTTCGTCTTATTTAACTACCTACACATATTTAAAACTATTTTTTGTAACATGACACGTAAGTATTAAATTGATTGTATCTTATCCTCACACCTAAACGTTTTCATTGACCCAAAATAAAACAAAAAGAAATCCCTGTTGATGACGCATCAATGTGCTCACCAGTCATTAATACAAATAAGGTTTTGTTAGGGTCCTTCAATACATCAATATTAATTGACCCAAACTAATAGTATCTTTTCTAACAAACCTTTTAGTTCATAAGTTATACTGTACATAAACCTAATTCAAAGTCTTTATAGCATGAAGGCCCTTTTCAGGACACTTAGGCTGAGTTACATCATCTTATTTTAACCATAACAATCACAATAACCGGTGCTTTTTATATGGAATTTGACAGATTTTTGACGTTTATCAAAGTTAAAGTAAGATGGTGCAACTCAGCCTTATTGTTGTAATGGGGAAAGTGTGGTATATTGAACCAGTTGGTAAATTGCACCACCTTCATATTTGGTATCATATTTTTTATGCAGAACAAGGCAGGTATTTGACTGAAATCGCTCCTGATTGTAAGTGAGATGCTCTCTATACAAATCTGCCCTGTAAGTGCTTATTCACTCTCACCTTGAAAAGGCCTGGTAATGTTAGGCTCTTTTAATTAATAAAAGAGCTGTTTTGGATTCCATAACACTGATAAAAAGTAATAAATCACTTATTCTTGAAAAGTAATTTGCGAAACAATGTTCATGTTAACGAACGCCATCGCTATCACACGCTCATTGATATCA